ACTGAAATGCTGCGCATTAAAGAAGGCCATGTTGGAATGGCGTAGGATGGGAAGGAGGAGCAGCAACAGCATCAGCAGTAGCACCAACGGGAGAAGGAGGAAGAGGAGGAGGAGGTGAGAGGAGGCTGAAAGTGGGTTAAGGAGGACACGCAACAACTCTGCCCACTCAGAGATGGAAGTAGCGTCTTCTCAGTGGAAAAGGCAAGGACTGCTAGTCTCTCATCCGCCGACTCCGTGACTTCCGTCCGTTGGGCAGGAAACACTGATACTTTAAAGGCGCTCATAGCCACAGCAGCCTTGATGCATTTGTCGGCCGAAAATGAAGGATTAGGAGGTCTTCCTCCTCCTTCCAGCAGGTGCGCAGACTTGTCCTGTTTGAGAGGCCACAAGAGCACAGAATTGCAATGTTTATGCTTTCCAACTACTTCGAAGCAGTCTTTCTCACGCGTTGATGGGAAGGTGGATGGACCTCCTAAACTGCCACACCTCGTCATCAAGAATATCCTCCTCCGTCTCCTCCTCCTCCTCCTCCTTTCTTTCTTCCCTTCCTTCCTCCCATTCCTCCCTGTTCCTCATTCATACACGCGTTAAGCCGAGTAAACACAATGTTTGCGTGGCGACCACACTTTCAGCTTCCGCTCAACGCTATCGCAGAAAAGCAGAAGGGGAACCTTTACCCATCTCTCATTCCATCCCTCCATCTATCAGTGGTGGAATGAAGGAAAATGCCTTGTCCCTCACTTGCCATTCATCTCAAACCTACTCGCTACCGCCACATTTGTATGCAAGACCACCTGCTATCTTTTAACACTCACTTCCACCTTCACTGAGCCAACGCCTTTTTTCAACACCCATTTCTCCACACTCATTGACGCGTCAATTTGAAGAAGCCGTCTCACCTGGCCAGTCCACTGTCGGCGTGAAGCTAGTGTGACGTGGTGTGACATCACACGTGGTGCATGTGTGGTGCAGGCAGACCACCCAATTCTGCAACAGCCAAATGTGAGTCCAACCTTCCTCACTTGGAAGCAGTAATGAGGAGATGAGTGTGTCGCGCTACTCAGTGAGCTGCGTCCCCTCCAGCAGTCTTGCTAATCGATGAGCCATTCGGTGAACGAGTGTCGCTGCCAACCATTCCAACATGCAATTCCATCCGTTCCTCCTCCTCCACATACCTCATAAAGCTGGCTGGTTTGCTCAACAGTTTGGCCAACCCACGTGCAGTCGTGACTTGCAGGCCTCCACTGTGCAAAGGAAGGCGCCATCTGAGTGGCGAAGCCCCAACACATACCCTTGCTCTCTCTCTCTCTCTCTCTTTCAAACCGAGGAGATGCATGGAAGTGCAGCAATGCAGAATGCCAACTTGTAGTAGTGAACGAGATCAAAGTGATGCTGTGGTGATTGTTGCCGTGACTGCACTTTGACAGTGAGGGGCGAAAGAGGTGCAGGCATCACCCACTCTCCCGTGTCGGACAATGATGGTGTCACCTTCCTTCGCCCGCTTCACTGCTGCAACTGCTTTTGCATCAGCATTGCAAGAGCTAAAGTGAGAGGGTGGTTGTGGCGATGTCGGTCCGCGTTGCAAGGCATCCGTGCTTCATCGACTTGTACCATTCTTGGAGAAAGTGAGAGGAGAAAGAGGAGGAGGAGGAGGAAAAGGAGAAGGGGGAGGCGCATACAACGTCATGGATGGGAATAAGGTACGAGGTGTCCAACCACAAGTGGGACAGTCTGGAGGCAGTACAGGGCGTCCTCAGTGAAGGACAACATTCGTCCCTCCTCATCCCACTGTGACCCACCAACATTTTACCACCTCATGCCTACAATAGTGGACATTTGGTTTGTCAATGTCTGTGGCACAGCAGAACTCCGCTTGGACTTCTGTTGGAAGGCAAAGGGGCTGCCCTCCTCTTGCTACACCACGACCATCACTATGGCCTTTGGTAGCCACTGTTTCCACAGGATAGCGCCACTGCACACTGCAACGAGGTGAATGCCATGCAAGCAGGAGTGAACCCACCTCCATCCTCCCTCATAATTGCATCCAAATTGGCTGGCTTTGTGTGGTCGCAGTGCACACCATCCAATTCGCTAATAGTGTCTTCCCTCCCACATCTTCTGCCCTCCAACCACCTACCAATTCGACTATGGTTTTCTCTGTCCACCACCGGTGGATAAGAAAACGCCAACATGTCATCCCAACAGTAGGTTAACTTAACGACTTAAATCGCAATCTGCTATCCC